TTAGAGCTTGTCCTTGTTTTGTAGAACGATCCTTCTGATCCTTTGGGCTTAGGAGAAACCAAATCCAAAATTGAGCTTCCAAAATGCTAGTTTTCTGTCTAGACTTTTGATAAGTTTATCCTGGGCACTCCTCAAAGTCTTATACTAGGACATATGCATATGTTTAGGCATGCCAAATCCTTATTCTTGGGCCAGTGTCTGACTGCTCGTAGTTTGTGGTTGCATTCCCAAAAATGAACTTGCACTGGTTTGTTTGTCCCTGTATTCCTGTCATTGTGAGCCACATGGATGAGATCTGTGTAGCAAAGCAGCATAACACATTAAAATAAATAAACAAATAATCCATGCACTGCTCTTCTTCCTGTGATGCTTGAAAGAGGCCGTTCCATAAACATGTGCACTTCTGTTCTCCTAGTCTTCAATATGGCCCACCTTCCCTTCGGACAAGAGACGGAGTGAGGCAGACCCTTTCCTGGTACTTCAGCTTTCCCCAAAACATAGGCATTTTCACATTGTTTTTAGAGAATAGCCTCAGAAAGCATTGTGTTCAAGTTTTCACACATTCCCAACCTTGGGTCCCTAGTTCTTGGACTACAGCTTCCAGAAATCCTGGTCAGCACAGCTAGTGGTGAAGGCTTCTGGGAGTTTTAGTTCAACAACATCTGGGGACCCAAGGTGGAGAACCTCTGGCCTAGAATCTTAGGTCATACAGGAGCAATCTCTAGGCCAGTGGCTCCCAACCTTGAGTGGTGTTCTTGAACTACAACTCCCAGAGATCCTGGCCAGCAAGGCTAGTGGAGTTTTAGCTCAAGGACATCTGGGGACCCAAGATTGGGAAACACCACTCTTAAGAGATGTGCTTCTCATTTAAAGCCTCGTCCTTCTATTCTGAAGGGAAGTCCTGATTCTTATATGGCAGCTGTAGCTTGTTATTTGGAGGAAGGAAATCTTCTTAGTTGTGGCACCCACCAGATGAAATCTCTCCCCCCCCCCCCCGAGATCATCTTCGCTCCTCAAATGCTTTCCTCACTGTTGGCGGAACATGGATAAGAAATCACTGAAGAGGGCTTAGTACAAATCTCACTCTCATCACTTTTTGGTGGGGTTGTGGGTAGACCATCTCACAGCCTCTCTTGTGCATGATGGGTGTGACCTTCCAGGGCTCTCCTTGGGATGAACATTGCAAGAGCCTACATGAAGCACATTGCATACTAGACCGCTATGAGGCCAAATACTGACGTGTCATCAGAAGAGTTAATTTCCTCAAAGCCTGAAATGAAACACCCCGTGTTGACCCAACATAGTCCCTGCTGCCCTTCTTCCCATTTCCACATGGCCTCAGGTGTGGGCATCCTTGCTGAAGAAGGAGAGATTCTGGAAAGGAATGTTCCTGGTTGGCGTCCAGCTGTTGCTTAAACCCTTGGCATTCAGCACCACCAAGATCAGGGTTTCAAAGAATCATAAGGCAGATCGTTTGCACCTGGATATTTATGGCTGTTGGGTTGTGGGAAGACAGGGCTTTGCATGCTTTCAAAGATGGCAAAGTTATAAAGAGAGAGAGAGAGAGAGCAATCTCATTTGCTAACTGGGGGCAAAAGGCATGCCTGAGTTCTCACTGGTGGGTTGGTCCGCATAATCTCTTTGTGAGATGGTACAAAAGGAAATTTAAGATACAGATCCTTTCCCTCCTTCTTCTATTTTTTCCCCCATCAAGACTTTGTCTCTTGCCCATGGTTTTTTGAAACACAAACACACTTCTTGAAGGGTGGGAGTGGCCATGGTGATTGTCTCTTCTGATTGAAAATAAGACACTTGTTAAAGTTGTCTACCGAATAAAATTGTTCTGACCATTTTTGTGCCACCTCTGGAAACAGGCTCTCTCGGGGGCCATACTAGAGACTGCAGAGTGGCTGCTGTAAGAAGAGCATTACTTTGACTGTTTAAAGCCCTCTGGCCATAATCTCATGAGCCTTTCTGAGCTTCTGTCATCCACAAGGTAGCTTCTTCTTTTTTGTGGCTGGTCATCAGGAGATAAACACCAGCTTTTCTTGCTTTTTGATTCCTCAGACGTGATGCTGAGACAGGAGTGCACAACTGAAGCAGAGTCAAGCTTCATTCTTCTGATGAAATGCTAACACTTCCTTGACCCCCAGTTTCTTATCTCATGGCTCTTCAGGACTGGCAAGTCCAGCTAGCACTACACGAATGAATACAAGGATGTCAGAGTTGGCCACTCCATTCGCTTAACCCAGGCTTTGCAACTTCATGCGGTCCAGTTAGTTTTGGAATACAACTCTCCTAATCCTTGGGTTGGTCATGTTTATGGGGTTGACAGTCCAAAACTATGGGAGGTCATCATGCCGCCCAGCCCAGACCTCTCAACTAGGCTTGGGGAAAACACCAGAATGGTCTACATTCTCCCTCCAGATCCTTCATGTTGGTCTAGGTTCTCCTCTGCACAGAGGTGCAGTGGCTCAGACAGGTGACCACTGAAAGATCTTCACTTACAGGTAAGCCACCTGTCCTTTCACGGAAGAGAAAACTAATTCCTAAAAAGTTGGACTTCTGGTTTCCTAGAAAATATATCATCACTCCAGAAATATTAGGTGCCCTGAGATTGCTGGAGAGTTCCTTCACTGTACATATGTGAGTGAGTGAGTGAGTGAGTGTGTGTGTGTGTGTGTGTGTGTGTGTGTGTGTGTGTGTGTGTGAGAGAGAGAGAGAGAGTTCTCCAGAGTTTTTACAAAAGTAGTCAATCTCCATTTTCCCTACACCTGTGCAAATGGAATTCCTTGTGCTGTATTGCTCCTATGTCTCTCTTGCTGGTACTGTGTGTTTTTTTCCTTTGAAAAGATTATATAATGGTAGGAATGCTTCAGCGCATGGGATAAATTGGGTAAATTACAAAAAATGTCTTGCCTGTTCTTCCAAAAAAAAAAATGTTCTTGCCCTTCCTCAGTTTGAACATGCAACACAAAGCCTCATCCTAAATGGCAGAGTCTTCTGGGTTTTATTGTACTACCTCAGTTTCTCTTTCCCTAGAAAGCAGTAGCAAACGGCTGAACAGGTTTGTGTTCTGAAAGCAGAACAGTTATTGTTCCTTTAGCTCAGTGGTAAAAGTGGCTCACGCAGCAGCGGGATGTTTATGGGATCAGCAACAGGGGATCCCATCCACCATACTCTAATTTAGTTGTGCTCTCAAGAATCGACTCATTGCGATTTGAAGTCATAGATTTGACATTTGCAACTGTCAGTAATAGTCCAATTTCTGTCTCTTAATATAATGCTTTTCCATCTTGTGTTCAAAATAAAAACTAGTTCTACAGCATGTAATAAATCAGTGGGTCCCAACCTTATGTCCCCAGATGTTCTTGGGATACAACTACCAGCACAGCCAGGAGGAAAGGCTTCTGCAAGTTTTAGTCCAAGGACATCTGAGGCCCCAAGATAAGAGTCCCTGTAACTTCCCCCAAGCTACATGTTTGCAAGAATTTTGAATTTCATCTTGTGCATGTGGGACACAGAAGCAATTAGATGAATCAAGCTGGTAGAATTAGGCGAAAGCTGATGCTGTCTGGATAATTTTCCACATGGGAAAAAGTAAGATGTAGATGTCTAGAGAATAACTTACTTAAGCATGAGTGAAACAATGGCTTATTCTCATCCACTGAAGAGAGACAGAGCATTTAAACAATGGATCAACTTATACCAGATGAACTTTGATATGATTGACATGGTTATCTGACCTCATACTGATATTAACCCTATAGGAGAAAAATGTCAGCTGTGATGAACCTCCATAGACTCAAACTCCCAAGTAGTACCATACATTTAAAATGCTCTGAAAACTTTGTTTGATTGTCATACATTTGACAAAGATCTGACAGAGAAAAATAACGTCTAGGCTAAGCAAGGGTATGAGATTGCAAAAATAATTTTGGGTATAATCAGTGGGTATATGGCTTGCACATGACCTATTTCACTGTAAGGTAATATCAGATTACATAATTTTCTTTCAGTCATTTCACCTGAGCAAAGCAGGCAGGGCTACGTCTTGCTTAACCAGGGTCCAGTAAAGGATTCTTGACTTGGGACAGTGAGGGCTCCACAATCTAGAAGATTCACACATCTGTCCAAAACCATAGGGCATGTGAATCATGTATCTTGCCAGATGGTGTAGTATAAATGGAAAGTTAGCATGTGTAATTGATAGCATACGTAATGATAAGGTAACAAAACTCTGTTTCATGCTGTACACAATCTGCTTGCTTCTATGGGAGAAACGAACAACACTGGACGGGGGGAGGGGGGAATCTTTCTTTTCTCCTTGCAGTGAGATGTCTTTGTGTGAATTTTTATTTTTCCAAAGAAATTTCATGGGATATATTGCAGGATTTGTCAGATGTTCCATGGCCAACGTTTTCTGGAAAAAAATGCCACACTGTGCAGGATTATCACTGTCCTGAACAGTATCCCCTCCGGAACGGGCAGAAAAAAACCCAACCAGATTGATATGAATCCCTGCACAAAACGGCATCTTCTTTCTTCAAGATTCATCAGAAAGCACACAAAGCTATGCAGAATTTGGTACTTCCCTGCACAAAAAAATTAAAGGGAGGAAGTCTTGTTTTCATGAGACATTGAGAGATCTTGCCAGCACTGAGAGGAGGTGAGCCTTGGTGTGCCAATAATTAGAAAATTGCAGAAAATGAGAAGATCTGCAGGTATTTGTCACATACCTATAAAAAACTGCAGGTTCTCTCTCTCAGTCTCTCATCTTTATAGATTAAAAAATAGACCCTGGATGTAATGGCTTTGCAAGGGAGCTGCTAAGGCTCAAAAAGTCTTCTTGACAAGTAGCTACCAGCCGACAATATCCTAGTCCCAAATATGTTAGTTTTTTTTTTAATGCATCAGGGCTTTCCTGTTAAAGAATGTGAGCACAGAGTAGTCTCTGCATCTCGGCTGACCAGGTTTCTGTCTGCGCCTCTTCTCCGTAGGGTTCCGCAACCTTCATGTGGATGACCAAATGGCCATCATTCAGTATTCCTGGATGGGGCTGATGATCTTCGCTATGGGGTGGAGGTCTTTCACCAATGTGAACTCCCGGATGCTTTACTTTGCCCCCGACTTGGTCTTCAACGAGTAAGTTCTTATTTTTGTTTGTAATGCCTTTTCTTATTGACCGCTGATATTTTCCGACAACACGTCACATGGACTTAAGGCTGAAGGTGGGTTGGATGCTCTGTAGTCATTTGCTGGAAGACGAGGATGGTTCATTTATGGGCCTCCAGCTCTTGTTGGCCGTTTGACATTGGAAGGGGGGGGGACCTGCTTCAGATCTTGGTGGCCCCTCCTTCCTTGGCAGTTTTTAATCAAGACGTGGGGGTGAGCATCTGTCAAGATGTATACAGAGTATGTATATTGTAGTCTGCACTTTGAATCTTGGATTGAGCCAGAGTTAGAATCACTGAATTGAGACCATCTGCTCAAAGCTGAGGGCTTTGACATCCCATGTCTGCAACAGGACTTGGAAATAACACGTTGCATTTAACATGTTAAAGTTAAAATCAAGGGTGTGTGTTGTGTTTTTTGTTTTTTGTTTTTTGTTTTTTTATCAACAGCAGGACAAACCAACCTGAAGAATCGTATTTTGGAAATATGGGGGTTTTTTTAACCTTCTAGCACTAGTTTCAAACACTGTTTTTAAAAGGATTAGCTGCATCTTTCCTGTTAAATGCAAAAGTAATTATGGTCACTGAAGACATTAAACGTCCTGTATTATTTACAACCTCTGCTTGGTAAATCTGTAGGTTCAGGGCTCCCTTCTGCTTACTCAGCTTTGCTCTTGACCTGGGAAATCAATTGTGCAGAAAAGATTCACACAGCTCAATGAACAATAAAACCAGCAGGAATGAACAGAGGCTCAAGCAAGAGAAGTTGTCTGCTGCCAGCAGCATAACAATAGAAGTGTTGTTTTGGTATTCATTTACTGATGTGGGATGTCAGCAGGGAAATAGAGAAATTTCCTTGTTGTTACCCTTTCATTACAGGCTAGGACAACAACCAGATGATGATTCTGGGCAGCTTTGTGCGTCTTCTGGGTTCATCAAACTGGATTAAAGAGGGGGCAGGATTTAGTGCAGAGGGAAAAGCCAGAACCTTGGCATGTAGGTTGGGTGACATGTACAATCTGAAAGAGGTGCTCCACGCATCATCGTTGTCTTGTTTTACTGTCACTGGAATCGAAATGTGTTGAATTTTTTTTTTCCTAAGAAAAAGTCAGGAGCATCTTGAACACTTTAAACTTTCACAGATCTTCCTATTTTGGACCACTTTCTGTCTTGCATCCTGCCCAGAATAGCGTGAACGCTGCAACTCAGTAACAGCAAAGAATTTCCCAGGCTTCTAAAATTATTATTATTATTAAACTTTCTTGCTGGTGTTCTCCTGTATATCTCCCCCACTTAGGTACCGGATGCACAAATCCAGGATGTACAGTCAGTGTGTCAGGATGCGACATTTGTCTCAAGAATTTGGATGGCTTCAGATCACTCCCCAAGAATTTCTCTGTATGAAAGCTCTTCTCCTCTTCAGTATTAGTAAGTAGGGCCTTCATTTTCATATGATATTCTTTCTCCCTCCCCCTTCACTTTGAAAAAGACAAAGAAGAGGAAATAGAAAGACATGTAACAAAAGATTGTCATGCTGCTGTTTCCATGTAACAACTATTTTGTCAAGAGCTACAGCATCAGAATATAAATAACAGTTTTTAATGACAACAAAAACAAGCATTCCATCAACAGCTAACCTCCAAAATACAGAAAGTACAAAAATTAACAAACATTAAAGCAAGCAATTAAAAGAATATGGAAAGGAGATCAGGTCATTTCCACACACACCCATGCAAATTTCAGCAACCGGAATAAATTTCAAAATCTTTGGCTACCAATTAAAACAGTTGCCAATTGCTACTAATTTACTTCCTGCAATTCATAGATTGGCAATTTTGCAAAAATGTCACCTGCAGATTTTTAGGCTTGATGTCCAATGTGTAGACATGACCCTTTGGTTCCCCCACACACACACATACTGTGTTTACTGGTATTCTTGCCTGCCATTCTATCTGTTCTCTCCTTACTGGTTGGTTCTGGTTTTTCCTCGGCTTTGCTTCTACACCCAGTTGTTTTTGCTTTCCTTCTGCACCAGTTCCAGTGGATGGCCTGAAGAACCAGAAGTTTTTTGATGAACTGCGGATGAACTACATAAAGGAACTCGATCGTATCATTGCCTGCAAGAGGAAGAACCCCACATCCTGTTCTCGCCGCTTCTACCAGCTCACGAAGCTCCTGGACTCTGTGCAGCCTGTAAGTTAAGAGGTTGGGGAAGGGAAGGGTGACCACACATGTAGAGAGATGATTAACAACCTTGGGTGCGTGTCTTGTAGAATCTGATTAGACTGAGGCGTCTCTTAATCCCGAGGCACAGGGCGAGGGAAGCATAAAACATCAATACGTTTTTAAAAGGCTGCCGGAGTGTATCTAGGCTACGCAGTCAGAGCAATAAGGGCGCCACTTTAACTTTTGATGGTTCCGTCCTGAGGAATGCTGAGAATTATAATTTTATGAGGGAATTGGCATTTTCGGCTAAGAGCATTGACATGATCCTCTTAACTGCAGCAGAAATTTCTGTGGACTTCTCCCAAATGACAGACCCCACAATTCTGTACGATGGAGCCAGAGGGATTATAGCGGGGCCACATAACCATAGGGTGTAGATGTCCTTCCAGAGTCCGTTTTGGAGTTTCCAACACGGAAAGCCTGTGCGAGGTGTGAAGACTTTCTGATGGCAGAAAAAAGCCCTCCAGAGGCTCCAAAACTATTGGCATATTATTTCTTACCATTTGAATATGTTTAGAGGGCAGGACATGTAATAATGAGCTCAGTCTACAAGAAGCCAGTTCAGGCTGAGTATCAGGAAATACTTTTTAACTGTTAGAGCAGTACAACAACGGAAGCCATGACCTCGGGAGGTGGTGGGTGCTCTAACGCTGGAGGCCATCAAGAGAAAATTGGACAAACAACTGTCTGATCTGCTTTGATTTGGATTCCTGCCTTGAGCAGGGGGAGTTGGATTCAGTGGCCTCAGAGGACCCTTCCAACTCAGTCTTTCTATGGATTCTGTGAGTCAGCCTCAGGTTTTGAAGAAAGACAGGAGCAGGTCAAATCCAGCACACCAGAAGATTGTTACAATTCCTGTGCAGGATGTTATCTTTCCTACGCAGGATCCATCGGGATACACAGAAACTGCACATAAGTTGGCAGAACAATAGGCAAAAAAAAAATTGAAATGGGAAGAGACAAAGAAGGCCAGTGTTTAGTTTTTGTGGGAAGTTAGGAGATATCATTAGTTCAGGGGACATCAAAGTACAGATTCTTGGCATGGAGGGATTTGGAAAAGGGCTGATAGGGAGAATTTTATTTTGAGACTCCTTTTATCCACCCAGGTCTGACCTCCACCATCTCTGCATAGGGCAAGGTTGAGAAAGTGTCCTATCCAGAACCCCAAGGAGCTGTTGTCTGTGCAGACCATATTGAGCCAGAGGTCCCCAAGGTCAGGGTTGGTGTAAGCCAGTTTCCTCAACCGACATACCATCGGTCGGTATGTCCTGACTCCCCCCTCTCCACACAGTCTCTGCTTGCTTCTGCAGCCCCTTTCTTGGCTTCACAGCAACTGTGGTCAACCCTCAAGAAAACTGCTTGAGGCCTTCATTTCATTTGAAAAAGGTTCCAAGCCCATAAAGATCAAAGGCACCGCTTAGGGTTGCTAATCAATTAGCAGGACATGTGAAACCACGGCATATTCTTTTGCCTCACAAATTTGGAGCAGTCCTTATCTCCAGGACTCTTAATTGGTACATGACCCAGAAATCCGATTTTACCCATCTCCACAAAATGCTTGTACATGGAGCACCCGCTGGTGGGATACACCCTTGGCATGTGGACCAACACAGATCACATGATGCCCTTTCTCCCTGCTCCTCTCAAGAAATGGCAATTGGCCCCGGAAAGGCGGAAACGCGCAGCTAATAAATCATGTGGTACCAGAGAGACCTTTTGAATCAGGAAAGTGTTAAGTGCTGACAAAGGCATAAACTTCCTTAAACACACAGAATTAATGGCTTATTCCATAAATATAATTGATCAGTACAACCCAGAAAAAAATTCACTTGGAGAGATTACAAAACGGCCAATGAGTTCCATCTTTCCATGGCTTGTTTAACGAATTTAGTGGTCCTGTAGGGCAGTGGTCCCCAACCTTGGGCCTTCAGATGTTCTTGGACTTCAACTCCCAGAAATCCTGGCCAGCAGAGTTGGTGGTGAAGGCTTCTGGGAGTTGTAGTCTAAGAACATCTGGTGGCCCAAGGTTGGGGACCACTGCTGTAGGATATACAGTAGTCTATGCCAGCGAGAAGAAATAAAACCATATCTAAAGAGGAATTATTCTTGATCTCTTAAGTCTTTAAGATAGTGATCCCTCAAATCTGCATCCAGGGGGCATTCTCTTAGAACATGTACTATGTCCTCCACCTTAGAGCATCCTGTTTATGTTACTATAAATACAGTATTCTATATCACAATCTTCTGTTTCACTGGTGTCTCAGCCGTGTATGTGCTTAGGTGTCTTCGTCTTATAAAGACAAATGAAAGAAAATTAGCCTGCTAATAAAACCACAACCACCTCCAAGCCGGCAAGGAACATGTGCTAAGCTGTGCAGGATTCATCCAGCCTAACACACACTGATCAAAGCCGCCGCTCTGAAACAGGAATAGGAGGACAGAAGGTGCCTATGCCTGTGAATGGAGAAAGCCTGGGGGTTTACACTGAGTGCCGTTAGCGTGGAACCAGCCTAGCCGAAATCCTGTTCCATTGATGGTTTTTAGGGTTAAGCTGGACGCTCTGCTCCTGCTATTTGTTGTGTTGACCTCTTTGCCATTTTTCAGGGTAATACAAAGCATCCTTGCGGGACGTTGGGATGGCAAGAAAACTAATGGCTTTCCCTTCTTTCTTCTCATCAGTTTAGGCAGTCTTCACATGAGAAGACTCCTCTGTGAGGGATGTAAAGGCCCCACAAAAATGTGTCTTCTCCTGCCCAGAGGGAGGCAAATAGCTCTTGCCTTGCCCAGCCCTACCCAAAGCGTTGGCCATCTTCTTTCCACTTCAGAAGCAAAGCACCTGCTCCCACACAGGGCAAGCACAGAAGGATTGGTGGTTGGTTAAGAAAGATACAAACAACCCACCCAGGGCTCATTGTGCATAATCTTTGGCCAAGGTCATCCCCGGAGATGTGGGGGCCGGAACCCTTTTCCTTCCTGTTCTTTGTTTTCCATGCACAGAAATCTCTTCCTGGGTGCTGAAGGTGGCAGGTGTCTTCCTTAGCACCCAGATGTTGCTCTTCCAGGGGAACGTCCTGGTTGAAAATGTCTTGTGCTCTCTTTACTTCCACTGGAAACTGGCAGGGGGGAGGGAGGAGGGAGAGGGAGAAACTGGAACTTGAACTTCTAAACCCAATGGGGAAAGACGGAAAGAACTGGGCATGTTTAGCCTTGAGAAAATAACACTGAGGGGGAGACAGGAGACCACGTTTTCAATACTTGAAAGGTAGTTGTGCAGAGATGGGGCAGGATCTGTCCTCCATCATCCCTGTGTGCAGGACATGTCATCATGGTCTGAAGCTACAGGAAAAGAAATTGAAGCTGAATATCAGGAAAAACCTCTTAACTGTTAGAGCAGCACAATGACAGAATCCATGACCTCAGGAGGTGGTGAGCGCTCCAACGCTGGAGGCACTAGATTGGAGAGCCACCTCTCAGATCTGCTTTGATCTGGATTCCTGCATTGAGCAGGGGATTAAACTCAATTGCCTTATAGGCCCCCCTTCCGACTCAATTATTCTATGATTCTGAGCCAGATTTAGGCTGAATACCAAGAAAAACATCTTAACTGTTAGAGCAGTACCAGAATGGACCTTGTGCGATGGAGAGCGCTTCAACACTTGAAGCAATCAAGAGAAAATTGGACAGCCATCTGTCAGTTCTGCGTTGGTTTGATTTGAGCAGAGGGGGTTGGATTTGCTAGCCCTGGGACAGCCATCTGTCAGTTCTGCGTTGGTTGGATTTGAGGAGAGGGGGTTGGATTTGATAGCCCTGGAGGCCCCTTCCAACTCCATGATTCTATGATCCTAAGACATCTCGGTGGGTTTCTGCTAGAGTCCCCAGCTCTTCCCAGGATACCTAACTGCCACTCATGGTCTCTCAGAACTAAACGTCCAAGGGCAGGAGTTTGCCAGAGAACTGGGGAGGGGAAGAGATGGGCTTGTCTTGGCACCTACAGTCTGTTACCAGTGACCTTTTCTTCCCTCTTTCTCTTTTGCCCAGATTGCCAGAGAATTGCATCAGTTTACATTCGACCTCTTGGTCAAGGCCCACATGGTCAGCGTGGACTACCCAGAAATGATGGCAGAGATCATCTCGGTGCAAGTGCCCAAGATCCTCTCTGGGAAAGTGAAGCCCATCTACTTCCACACGCAATGAGGTGGAGGCGGACGTCAGCCTCGGCGACCCCGGGCTCGGCTGCCTTCACTGCCCGGTGTCCCTGGCCGTCGCCTGTCCCGCTCATCTCTGCACTATGCACTGCAGTGCCTTGGGAAGGCTGTATCGGAAAGATACACAGTCGTAACAAACAAACAAACAAACAACTACCTGCTGGGGTTTCTATCAGCGGTTCTCCTGTCCAGCCACCCTCTCACCCTGCCATGCCTTTTCTCTTCTCTCTGAGCCGCCCTCGACATAGAGTTCTCTGCCCTCCCTTTTGCCTGTTTTGGATGGCTCGTTATGTGTTCCGATCCCCATTCTCCTGCAACCTTCTCTCTTCTTCTTCTTCTTCTTCTTCTTTTGGTGGAGGTGGTGTGACAGGGTGCTCAAGTGCACTTGTTTACAATTCTGGAACTTGTGCATTTCCCACCGTGGCTTCTGTGGCCCTGCGCCAGCTTTCGCTTTGGGAAGAGGGGGGCATCTCCTTTGAGCGGCCGTCTTTCTAGCCGTTCCTTTTTCTTTCTTCAGTGAGAAACAGACAGAAGTCCAAGGTTTCGAAAAAGAAGGCTGTTGGTAATTAAGTCACAAGGGTTGCTGTTGGGATTGGGGGGGGGGAATGAGGAGGAGGGTGATGGTTCCTTTTGAGCTCCTCTGTTATGATGTTTTTCAAGGGGGTTGCTCAGCTCCCTGGAATGCAGGAGAAATTGTGGACCATTTCTGAGAGACAGAGAGGGAGAGGTGACCTGTCCAGAACCCAAGTGCCAACATATGGGAAGTATCTAAACTCTAATTTCACAAGAATGTGCCTGGGCCATACTTCTGCATGCAGAGAAGACCCGGTCTCCACTCTTGCCTTGACTATGCACGAAGGGCCGTCGTGGTCCAGACATCTGACAGAGGCATGAGCATGCCTCTGCTCTCGCCCTGCCCCAGGCTTGCTCTTTCAGATATACTCGCAAAGCTGTGTGTCTCACCTGGCTGTTGCCGCTATGCCAGCAAACTGTGTCCCCATGTGCTTTGGAAGTGCATAGCGCTACATTTACTCAACTCAAAGTGCCCGATCCATACGGCAGCTTTTGTGTTCACGAACAGGACACACAACATGAAGAAGGACTGGAGGTGCTTCTTAACCTTCTCAACCTGAAGACTGCTGAGGTCTGTCTTACAGCATTTCCCCCCTCCCTTCTTCTGTGGACCATGAACCCAAGCTTTAAAAAGAAAAAGAAAGAAAGTAAGAACAGAAGAAAACCTTGCCCAATGGATGTGAACACATTCCAGTTTTGAGCATTTTCTTGGCCGTGTCTCTGATGATGAGAACGCAGCTCTTTGGGTTCTCGGTGCTGATCATCCTGCCTCCATGTGTCATTTTGCTTGGTGGCGTCACCAGCCTCTTAGCTCCACTTCCCACAAAATGTAGCCTGACCAAGGTACCTGGTGGGTGGGTGGGTGTCACCTGGAGCCACCAACATTGCAGGTGAAGGCCCAAGAAGTGAAGTTGACCAAGAACTCTTGGCTTAGAGGCCTCCTCAGAAACTGCACAGTACTTTGGACCTCACCTGCTTTACCTGGAAAGCATGACAGGCCCTCTTTTTCTTCCTGGGATTTCCTATTAAATAGTAGAAACTGGTTTTTGCCAAAAGGCCGATGCTATTGACCCTCGGAAAGCTTGTGAAAGCATCGAGCCCTTCGCTGGCCATAGGATCTCATGGGTTGAGTCAAAAAGAGCCCAAGCTGCCCTGGTTGAATCCCCAGGCTTACTTCTCGAAAGAAATCTGCGTGGGTAATTCTTTTGACAAGAACCACAGTGTTTTGGGTCATGTCCTTGGAATATGCAAATCTTTCATCCATTCTCATAACGATGGCACCCCTAAGAATCCCTTCGTTGGCATCCGTTATTTCTTCTAAGCCTAATCTCTGAGGCAGAAGCATAAAATAGCAAAAGTTGAGCAGCCCACCTGATATTTCTAATTTTTTTGTTTTGTTTTTACTCTTGAGGGACTTTGTCCTTTAAGAAAATCTCCAAAATGTGGTAACTTAATATCAATTAACGCCTCAGGATGGGTTAATGTGAGCTTCAGGTTTGTCCACCCTCAGTCGTTTACACCTGTTTACTCTGTTGAGGGGTAACTGGGCAATTTCTGCAGCCTTGATGGGTCTTGTGGCATCCCAGCATTCGACAGAAACAACCGCCCAGTATTCAGAGCCTGGTAGAGATGCTATGTTACCTAAGACCTGTCTCCCAAAAATCTCCAGAAAACAAAACAAGAGACTACCACAGGTGTGCTCATTGTTTTAGTGATGTCACCAATTGCATTTCTTCAAACCCATTCAAAAGCTTGGTGGTCCTTTTTGCTGGTTTTCCAAAAACAGTGCATTATTGTTGTTGTTTAATATACAACATACTGTTTTTGGAAGGAGCAATTGCCTCAATCCTGTAACTGTGGTTTTTATTTTAAATATATATATGCATATATCTCTATATAATATGGGGGATGCTGTGATATTGCTTGCTTATCCTCTGGGCACTCGGGTGAAAAGATGGTAGAATATTTGGGAATGGAGACCCTTTCTCCTCCCCCCCCCATAAAGGTGTGTGGTTTGGGTGCTTCATGTGGAAACACCTACCTTGTCTGGTGAAACCACGATCCCGCTTCAAAAATCATCTTCAGATCTGACCTAGGAGTTACATTTTCCTTGCAGGCCCCAAGTCAGTAAATTCACAAGGTCTTTTTTTCCATGGGCAGAAGAGAGGAGAGGACAGCCATAAGCAAGACAGAAATGTCTCTCATTAAAACAACTGTGAACTAGTTAGCAAGGCTGGGCGTGCCAACGAGAGATCTCGGCTGTGGTCATAAGTTCTTGCCGCTGATGTTTGCTTGTATGTGGCCTGCGGCAAAAAGTTTCCTGGGAGGAGCTGAGTTAAGGAGATAAAAGCACAGATGCACGCATCTGCTTGTCAAGCTAAGGTACTTTCTCCGACCCCTTGGTATAAAAATAATACTAGCCAGGATTTGCAAGATGCATCTCACTGCATGCCAGAGAGATGCTGGGCTTTCTTTTTAAAACATGGCTCCTCTTTGGCCTGTTTGAAAGACCTGCTCCTTCCCCAGCCTGTCTTGCTAAGCCCTGCCTGCCTCTGAGGAAGCAAACCTCTCGTGGAGGTTTCTGAGGCTAACACGTGCTGGATTTGGCAGGGGGGTCACCTGTATGTGTTGCCTTATGGAGAATGCTTGGAAGTGGTTGCGCATCCAGATTCCCAACGGGGTAACCTTGACAGGGGCTGGACTTGATGACCCTCCAGGGTCCCTTCCTGCTCTGCAGTTCTACAATTAAGATTATTATTATCTCTGAGGCTCGCCCCGTCTTTCACGCTTGTTTTCATGAGGGCAGGTGAGGGGGGGGGCAGTAGAGGTGGGGAGTGTAAGTGACCCCTTCACTTTGCTCCATCACCAGTTGCTGGCTGGACGAGAGATCTACAGCCTTGCTCGGACGCCAGCAGAGAAAAAATTCCCATCGTCTCTTGGATGATTTTATCCCAGGCCGTGGGCATCCTGTGGTGTTTGGCCTGGCAAGGGCACCCCAGTGCAAAGCTTCTCTTGTTCAAGGGGAGGGCCCTTGTCTTTAAACAATTCTGGGCTTTCAGCCCTTAAAGAGGCCTTACCTGTATCTGCAGCGTCCCTCCCCCATCACCCCTTCTCGTCTTCTTGTTTTCCTGAATAGATCCCCTGTGTTTGCCTTAACTGTGCATGGGGGGGGGCTCTGGGGGTGGCGGGCATCCTGTCTTTTTTCTGTGATGCACCTTATGCAGCTTTAGTGCTTTCTCTTGCCCAGCTGCAGCCAATTTTTGACTCAAAGAATGTGTTCTTCGTGGTGGTGCCAAAGAGGGTGTACATAAAATAAAAAGAGATGTCGCAGGTAACCTAATTAAAGGGGGGGGAAGAGAGAGAAAAATATCCAGTGCATTAGGATAATTTAGGATCAGGTTTTCTCCAGTGCCATGCATAAGTATTTCTTTTTTCTCTTTTTCATTTTGAGGGGTTTTTTGATATAGACCTGCAGCCTAGATTCTGTGTGTGAAAAGCTCCTTCTTTTCCGCACAGGCAGGTCCCAAAATCTCTTTTCTCCCAACGTGTGCCCCTGCCTGGGCCTCTGCTACCAATTGATTTGCACTAGTGCTGCGTGGAGGGGGGACAGCACAGAGAAGGCCCCTGCTTTAGCACGAAAGCTTTTCTGCACATGCAAGGGGTTTCACACGAGAAAGGGGGAGCAGTTTTCCGTTTTCCTAAAACCCGTACTGAGCTGGAGGGGGGGGAGGCAGAGGGTGACCCTCTGTAGGTTCCCCATTAATGCCCAGCTGGTTCAATGCTCCTCTTTCACTCTGCCTCCTTCGTGTTGAACCTACAGCATCTTGCAAGTAGCCAGCAGGGCCTTGGATGAGGGGGCAGCAGGGTGCAAGGTGATGGCAAGGTCAAAGAGATGGCCCTGCCTGCTCACCTCATGGTCCAGAGGAGGCTGGGTGGCAGAGTCACGGGGGGGGGCAAGGTTCTGAGTGGCGGACACCAGCGCTCAGGTACTGGACGGTGGCTTGGTAGAGGCGTCCAAAGGCGTCCAAGGGGGAGCCCTCTTGGCTCTCCTGCTTTCCGGGTCCCGGAGCGGTCATCCTCTCCCACGCTTCGCTTTGCTTTCCTAGGAAGCCACGCCGGGGGGGAGGGGGGGCACGGGACCCTGTGTCTGTGTCCCTGGCAGCTCTCCACGGATTGCACCCCTTGTCCTCACGCTTGACTTCAGCCCGTCCCTGCCGAGAGTTTTGAGTGGCAACTGGTTATGACAAAAGGTTGTGGCACTTTTTTTAAAAAAAAGAAAGACATGTTTTGTTTGTTAATTCATTTATGTATTTTTAAAATATATATATATATATAAGTGGGGAGCGTATGTCATTTTTCTATTAAAAAAACATAGTAAGATGGGGACTTCCCAAGGGGTGTGTGTGTGTGTGTGTGTGTGAGTGAGTGAGTAAGAGAGAGAGAGAGAGAGTTCAAGGAGGGGGTGGTGTCTGAAACGAAGTGTGTGGGGAGATTAGAGTTTTCACTTATTTGAATGTAGCCAAGTTGATGAAGCTAAGAAAGACAACAGAACCAGCAGGAAAGTGGCAGAGTTTGGCTAACCGGGGGTAGGGGTGGGGAATGGCCCTCCCATTTTGAGAGGCACCAGAAAATTCATTTAGAAACGGTGCCGAAATAAGCGCCAGCCTCTTCTGCTCGGCCTCGTGCCAGCCAGCGCCCAAACCATGCCCACCTCTCTGGCCTTTCATTGCTGGAAAGATGGTTCCATTCATCCCGTTGCCTTCTTTTAATAAATGGTGCCAGTCCAAGCAAAGGGTGGAAGGGCTTTCCTGCCCAAGCTGACAGGGGGCAGCTTGGTGTTGACTTGAGGAGAGCCGATGTTAGACACTCAGCAACACAACTCCAGGTTAGACTCACTGGAGGGGCCAGTGGAGGCAACACACACACACACAAACACACACACTTCTATCCCTCACGCATGCCCCTGAACGGCAGCAATGGTGTGGGTTTCCTTGGCACGAGTTCCATCTGAACAAGGATCACTCCCTGTTGAATTTGTGCCCTTCCGAAGCTGAGCCCTTGGTCTCGTCCAGGCTGGAGGGTTGCCCTCCCTGGTCCTGAAGGGCTAGAGAAACCGTGCCCCACCCACCCCGGCCTCAGCAAATGCGGGCGGGCACAAGGGAAGCTGGGTTCCTTGCAAAGAAAGTGGAAGAAGACCTGCCAAGTT